ATAGATCCTCTAGGTGACTGTGAGAACATCCAGTTTCGATTCTAGCCGTTGACGTGCTGTATTTCAGAGGTAATGCGACTTCAGATTCAAGTTGGAATTGAATGCATAGTAATTCCTTGCGATGAGGACGAGCTAGTACATACGGTAAGTTTGAGAACATACGGTAGCTTCAGTTAGCTGCATCACGTAGGACTTCAACCGTCAAAGTGGTAACCAAAAGTCGGCTTAAGGTAGGGTATGCTAAGCGAGCAGCTGGAAATATCTATAGATAGACATTAGGAGCTGCAGCGTGGAGTTTTAAGTCAGAACGCTTCAGATCCAAATGGCTACGCCAGTCCTCTACCTACTGTTGAAGCAGAGGAGCGAAATTAAGTGGTGGAAAATGGGCTAGCGCCGAGCCAAACCTAGCTCCATGACAGCTCCAGCGAACAAGACTGTAGTTCAAGTAGTCCGTGATCCTCCCGTATCTAATTGAGGCTTGAGTAGGTGCAACGGTGCTACCTGGGCACTGCTGGTAACTTTTACAGCCTCATACCACGGCCATAAGGCTTCTGATGCGAGACTGGTATCTGGAGGGAGCACTGCTGGAAGGATTAAAAGGCAGTGCTTCCTCCAGATACCTTCTTTACCAGTTTTGACCCGGGAGTCCATTTCTAGGAATCAATTTTGACCCAGGAGTCCCTCTCTGCACAACGGCTCTTGAGATGAAATTTGTTGAAATGTATAACGCTAAGTAGTTGGGCTACTGAATGATTGACTTATCCTGGTTGTACTAGTACGTGCACTAGTCTGCGGAATTTTGTCACGCGCGCAGGCTTGAAACAATATTCATTAAGCAACTGTTTATAGGTTGCATTACGTACCGTTGCTAAAATGCGCAAGTTACGACCAGCTATGGTGAAGCCAGCAGGAGGAAAGGAATACGAAGAAATACGTCGGACAGTTGGAAACTCTCTTGTTGATCCAGAAGACCGCGTAGGAGATGTTCTGAAGGACGGGGATTTCGTCATACTTGGTAAGGTGCAAGGCACATCATTGGTTAGAAATTTGCGTCTCAGGGCACATGTCAACCGGAAAGCTTCTCCCCTCCTTCCTTTTTTCTCCCTCCTTCCTTCTTTTTCTTCCTTCCTTCTCTGATCCCTCCTCCTTTACCTTCCCCTTCAACTGCTGGACTGGTAGATGCCCCGTGAAATTAGCCCTGGACCCTCGCAGCGAGAGCACGTCTCCCTTGACTCATTTGAAGCTATCTAGCGGTCGAAGGGGGGAAGGGGGTGAAAGGGGGGGGGGGTATAAAACGTGAAAAACCGCGAAAAAGAAAACGACCCCTATCTCTGCTAGATCCTTCCACTTTTTTCTGGAACTCCCGGGAATTTTCCTAGTTTTACTCCCAGAATCTTGCGGTCGAGTGGGGGCGGGGGTGTACAGTGCACATGAAAAACAGGAAAACTACGAAAAGTTAGCACCCTCTCTCAGGAAGGTCGTAAGGGAACCTCCCCCCCCTCTCCCCGAACAACTTGAGCAAGATACGATCCTCCTTCTAGCGTTCGTGAAAATAAGAAAAATGAACTATCAAAAAACCATTTTCTCAGCTAAATACGCCCCCCTTCCCTGTTGGGGAATTCCCAACAATGATGGGCCCGGGTAGGATAGTCCCGCAGCGAGTAGTGCTTTGAAACACAAACTATATTATTAGCTGTATTGGCATCGAGATGAAACTGAGGAAGAGAAGGAAAGACGGCGGCAAGTTGAGCTCGAATCTACCAGAGTAGCCCTGGAAAAGTTGGACAAACCAAAAAAAGTGAGGTTTTTAAATTCAGTTTAATAACTTGATATCCAGAGAAATAGACTCCAAAGTCTAGCAGCCGCACTGGCATCGAGTCTAGAACAAAGAATGCAAGGTCAACTGCCATGGCGCATCTGCTGAGATTACTCAGTGCTACTGACTGTTTTAGGATCAAATTCGAATTCGATCCTTCACCAGAAGTGCCATTGGTGGATAAGCCAACAAATTGTTTGTTGGTACTTGATGGTCAAAGTCTCACGCCTGCTGATCTCGTTCTGTGTGAAAAAGGAGAGTGCGCTTTGCAGGTATGAGGTATTCGAGCGGGGCAATTGCCTAAAATGGACAACCTGTTCGCAATCAGGACCACTTCCTACACTGATCGTATGTGTGCAGGGTTTTGGCGGGAGCGACGTTAAGATGCTTAGAGAACGGCACGAGCGCCTCTAGGAGTATGGTACCCCTCTCACTAGACGTCTTCAATACATAGTCAATTTATCGCGTTCAAAGCCTTTAAATGGCTAGGTGCTATTCCAAGAGGTGGAGCATCCCGATAGAGTAGTTCAAAGAGCCTTTTTCATACGAAGGGATTCTTTCACTGATGCCCGAGCTCCTGTTCCCTATCTAAGGTAAAGATCCATCGAGTTCTGCTTCCTAGACCCTTGTTTTGTTGATTTTGAATGCCTAAGATGTATCCCTTCACCTGAGTGGAATTACTAACTCTTACCCCATATCCCTGACCTCGGAATTGCAAGCCCGAATTGCGGACTTATAAGGATGCGGTCATGTATTGCGGCAGCGTCCACCAGCGTTCCGAGCTTCGGCAGCGTTGGCGACTAGAAAAGTGTGGATATCGATCTAGCGTTTGCCAGCGTCTACCAGCGTCCCGGGAGCGGAGAGTAGCGTCCGGGAGCGGAGAGTATGGCGCGATAGGAGGGTAATAGACAGCTGGTACCGCGCCAAACTCTCTACCAGCAGTCTGCTACCCTCCTATCTCCCCATACTCTTCCAGCTGTCTGCTACCATCCTATCGCGCCATGCTCTCCACATCCACATGCTGGTGGAGCCTACGCTCGGAACGCCGGTAGGCGCTGCAGCAAAGTATAAACGCGGCCTAATATTGCTGCTGGTGATTATTATCATTACAGCTCTCAATAGAAGCGGAAGAAAAAATCAAGAAGGGACGTGCTCTCTTGGAGAAGATCGCATCTGAGCATTGTGGTAAGTGAAAATACACGATCCCTTCAATCGATAAAGTGTGTGAAAGGGCGTGGATTAAAGCGCAGCCAAAGGCAGCCTTTTCCACAAATCGCTGTATGCTCTCAGGGTGCACCTATTGGTGCAAAATGCCGATTTACCTGCTCTACAATTCTCCCCTCCCCCCAGCACGGACTTTCGCTGGCAGAGATCACTGCTGCAGTTATGTATCAGTCTCTCAGTTTATTCGGTTGTCTTACAGCTGTCTACGGCGTCACAACTGGATTCGGCATATTTTCAAACGTTCGCATTGCAGATGACCAACTTAAGTGAGTTCTATGAACGTTCTTTTCTATGAGACAGTCCTCACAGAACCTATTGGCGGAGCTAGGCCTAGCATTGTACTTTTTTCATTGGAGCCTACTTCCTCCCTAAGAGAGTACAGGCCAGGGGCGCTAAAGAACCCAACAAGAATTTAGGCTCAAATTGGGAAAGTCACATTCACTTTTCGACCTAGTAATCTCGACGGGATGAGAACAAAGTACTGGAGCCATTTGTCACTGTTTTGTATTATTAGGTTGGCGGGAAAGTTCTGTCACTTTTTTCAAATTGGGCTTTCTTTTTATAGAGAGGCGTGTAAGATCAAAATTGTACAGCAATGTTACTGCGGGGTCCTTGCCTGTTTTTGAGCACCTCATGGATGCCATCGCTTCACAATGCAGGGAGGCGCGATACAAAGTTGGACATCATCTCAATCTTGGCTTGAACTCTGGTGCTAACGTAGTTGGGAGGGGCCACGCGGCTCGCGGCGAGTGATGACTCATCGGCTCTTCACTCATCGGCATACTTGAAACGCGAATCTAGCAGCCAAATCAGAATAAAACAAACAAGATTCACCGGGAACTTGCTGAAGAATTCCACAGAAGCTAAAAATTTGATTTTTTGTAGTCAACAATAACAGTCAACGACAAACATGCAACAAAATTTTGTAGTTTAGGCAAGAACCTTGCAGCCTAAAACTGTTTCTTTGCACTTTTCAGTGTTAACTGTTTTAACTTTTGAATATAGCTAGGGCGAAGTTATATTCATGTCCTAAACACGAAATTACTTCTATTTTGCCGAGGAGGGAGCAGAAGAGCAGATGAGTCATCGCTCGCCGCGAGCCGCGTGGCCCCTCCCAACTACGTTAGCGCCCAGACTTTTCGAGGTTTTCTCGTAATTTCTCGTCCAGTAATGATTGATTACGGGAGGCAACTCGCAGTTAGAAGGAGCAATGTCTGTGCTACACCACTGCAAGGGGAGAGCCATCCAGCTCTATTGCATGAGGAACGGCTAGAACTTTTTTGGAAGTGCGCTGCACTATCAGAAGCATTTGGAGGGGTCGGTGGCGATGGTAGCGGATAACATTCTTGTCCATATTGCAGAAAAGAAGAAGCAGGAATCAAGCGAGTGGTACTAATAGAAAGACCACTCTTTGATGTATAAGTGCTTACATTTACGCGTTCACCGGTCAGCCCTCTTCAGGTTAATGGCAAGTATTATGAGTTGAAAAAGTGTGAACAGAATCTGTCCCGCGCAACCTAATACAACATCCTGCTGGAGGATTCCTGCATACTTAAAACTCATAGCAACGTGATTATTTTGCAATCCGATGCGGTCGATTTTGCCCGGCCAGCTCTTCTTGAACCGGAAGCCTGTTTATTTCAGGAACTTCAGCTGAACCTGATCGATTCAATGCCAACAGCCTAATGGACCAACCCCTTGTCTCCTCAAAAAGCAAGAATGCTGCTCGCGTTGAGGTTACAATGACTGCTGAAGGGTTATGTAAAATAAAAAAAGACTCAAAAATCACATTTCAGGATAAATGTGCTTGCCAAGGGATACAGTGGATATCGGTTGGAGAATGTCACAAGAAATGGTGGCGGCCCTTCAATCCGGTAGAAATACTTTACTTTTACGAGCCTCTCCTTCTCACAGCTACAGTGAAATTACTTCTTCGTTCCCCCAAGAACTTCGCAAAAAGGCGTTACTCAGTTGTGCTGAGCCGAGAGGCAGTAGCAGATTGCGGTGGAGTGATGAGTATATCCGATACTCTTAACCAGGCAAATCGTCCTGATCACTGGCTACTCCTAATCCAACTTGAAGGCCTAAATAATTCTCAGTGGATTTCTACTACCCTCCTCCCCCACATATGATCGATCTTTACTTTGATTCCTTTGTGTTTTAGAGCCCTGTGTTTAAGCGGCTTCCATCAGGGCCCGAAATCATTTTCAAGGTGTGCTGGCTCAAGCAGGCGTTTTCTTTAGCTAAGGTGCTTCTGCTTCGCCTTCAGGGCGTTTCCCATTGTTTAATTGAGAAAGGCCGCTCGCATGACGTGCATGACACGCCAACTGCAGCTCGGTCGCATTCAGCAAGAAAAGTAAACCAACACCGCAGGTTATCGAAAGTGTAAATCTAGGAAGTTGACCAAGGCCATGGAGGGCCTATCACTGGAGAACTTCAATTGTTCCTTCCAACATTGATCGTTTTCAGCATTTTGCGTATCTTATGTACCTCAACAAGGTACGGTTGGCTGCAGCGGCGACTTGGCTCCGCTTGCTCATCTTGCTCTTGGCCTACTGGGAGAAGGAAAAATGTGGAGTCCTAGCACGGGGTAAGTTGAATGCAAATTGTTCTCAGCGAATTAAAGGAAAAGTTCGCACAGGTCAAGTGGGCGGAGATAGTCAACCACTGTGTCTTCTCCCTCATTTCCATTTTTCTGCAAGGAACACTGTGAGAAAGATGCAATGGCTGGGTGTCTCCACCAATGCCTTCGAAAGCAGGCTGCAACAATTATTAAAGCGCCATGACGTCGGAAATTTCAGATGGGAGGATGCAGCCGTCGTTCTCAAGAAGCATAACCTGAAACCGCTAGAACTCGGCCCAAAAGAGGGTTTGGCGCTGATCAATGGCACTCAAATGGTGACCTCTCTCGGAGCTTACGGTGGGTAGCCTTCTTCTACGAACTATCGCGCTCGTAAATCCCTCCACCAAAGAATTTAGCCGTCGAAAGAGCTCGCAACATCGCCAGACAGGCAGATGTGATCGCCGCTTTGTCGTTGGATGTTCTCAAGGGGACCACTCGAGCTTATGACCCAGGTTTGGTCTATTTGTTGTCTACCGTGAGTCCAAGCTGATCTTATGGGCGGGACCGGTCAGTCATTTGCGTTTTTCTTTGGTACGGTCAACGGGGAAGGCATAACAGCTGACTGTATTCGCCTTTGTCACCGTCTAAACGATCAGCGTGGACCGTGCTTCACGGAGCCTAATATTTTGATGGCGAGATTCCAGATATCCACCGAATTCGTCCTCACAAAGGCCAAAATCTATCAGCACTTCGACTTCGATCTCTACTTCATTCAGACGCTAATCCTTCACAAATTGCTGGTGAGCAAGCGCTTCAGTTGGTACCTAAGCTATTAAATTGCCTATTTAGAATCACATCGAAACTGCAACAAGGTGCAAGACGCCTATACACTGCGATGCGTACCACAGGTCAGTCTTCTCTATGGTCGGGGGGGGGTTGTTTTCCACTGCGGGTGTTTGCCTTCTGCTCGAAGGAACGGTCCACGGTGGCCTATAAAATGCAAAAGAATGTCTGGGAAGGGTAGTTTAGTCCGCAGTCTTGTGCTAGTTTCGCGGCGGAAAGTTGTAAGGTAAAGAAATTAAGGCGCAAAGGTGCCCAGTAACACCTCCCTTTTCCAGAGACTCCGCCTCCAGACCCGCCTTCGATGGCTTCCTTTCAGCCAACTCGGACAAATTACAGTGCGTAACAAAAGTATGTGGACACCCAAATTTTGATTTTGCGAAACTGCCTTTGGATATTGCGATCTGAGACCATCACTGTTAAATTCCTCATAAGCGAAAGTATAGGAATGCACTACCTACGAGCACATTGTGAACTATTGAGCAATGATTTATTGTTTTGAAAAAATTTCTTAATAACAAAAGTATGTGGACACTTAACAAAAAACAAAAGTATCATGGAAATTAAAACTTGGTGCTCCCTCCCGCGTTCACTATTACTTCGAACATTCTGTCTGGCATGCTGTGGACAAGATTTGTGATAGTGTCTTCGTCGATTTCCTCCCATGCAGCCACTACCGCCTCCTTGAGGTCTCGCACGCTGTTGTACTGCCGATTGTTCATGTAAATTCGTCGAACCATAATTCCCCACAGGTTTTCGATTGGGTTGCAGTCAGGAGAACATGCCGGCCAATCCCATGCGTTGGAGCCATTTTCTAGTAGAATTTGAAACATGCACGGCGGCGTTGTCCTGCTGCAGCACATGTGTCCTGGGTCGTGGCCCACTCAGAAAAGGCAAGAGGTTGGATTCGAGCACTCCTTGATATTCCTGACTGTTCATACGGCACGATGGGAAGGCGAGCTCTAACTTTCCGCTGGTTCCAAAACCACCCCACACCATCAAAGAGCCGCCTCCGAAATTTCGCCTCGAGAACAGCAACGGATCGCGACGAAGGTCTCTCCAGTAGTGCCGATATCCATTCGAGATTGAACTTTTTTTCATCGGTGAAGATAACCTAAGAAAGAAAAGCGCATGAGATGTTGTCTTTCTGATTTTACAAATTTCTCAAAAAACTTCACCTTGTCCCACGACGTCGCCATGTTTGCACGCGCGAAGTTCAGTCTCGCCAGTGCTGGTGTTGGCAGTCAGGGCGAGGAGCTTCGCATTCATGGTCTCTCGAGTGAGATGCCCTCATTTAGATCGAATTATACCGCGCAGTATCGTCATTTTTGAGAACGGGTCGATTACAGCATCAGGATCTGTCTCACAGATACAGGGGAGTTTGAGGCGACACGACGCTATTCATCTTGATGTGTTTGCGGACAAAGATCGAGGACGCCCCGAAATATGTGCTGAATGGTAGCCATCAGGATTCTGGAGGTATTTACCAACGCACGTCGCCGAACGTCCGAGCTGTCTTGCAATTTCTCTATTTGAGTGTCCTCAGGCAGCCACTGTGAGAGCTCGAATTCTTCCGATTGGTATCGTCTTCGGGAGAGAGTTACTGCCACAGACGAGGCATGAAGTTACAGGGTTACGAGCGGAGCAGAGACGATAGATATGGGTTGCAGATTTGGAGGTGTCCACATACTTTTGTTATTAAGAAATTTTTTCAAAACAATAAATAATTGTACGGCAGTTCACACTGTATTCAGAAGTAGTGCATTCCTATACTTTCGCTTGATGCAGGACATCTTAACATGATGATCTCAGATAGCCAAAATCGCAAAGGCAGACTTTCGCCCAATATGAAAATTTGAGGGGTCCACATACGTTTTTGTTAACGCAACTGTAGCGTAGAATCGATGCACTGTTGTCTCTTGTGGGATCACAGGGTGATTACAAGGACTACGTCTTTTGGCTTTTCGCCCGTACAATTTTTTGAGGCTGGAGAGTTCTTACCAAAAGCCTTTGGCATTTTCCTACACAGTCGACTCACTTGGCAATTTCTCTTCCATATTTCAACACCACTACGTACCTCCTTATCGTGGACCGTGTCCATAAACAATTCCACTCCCAAGCCAAGCTTTAAAAATTAGTCTTTTGGTGTTCACGAGTTCATGTATAAAGCACGGTCCTCCAGGTTCACGGTATCGTTCATGATACTATCGAGTTTGTTCGGGATATCATCACAATAGAAATGAATTCGGCCACCGACAATCCATTGGTGTTCGCCGATCGTGAAGAGATCATCTCCGGTGGGAACTTCCATGGCGAGTACCCTGCCAAGGTGAGCATGAACTCCACAATAGGGCCATTAACTTGAACTGGTAAACTTCAGGCACTCGACTATTTGGCGATCGCCGTTCACGAGTTGGCGCAGATGAGTGAACGTCGCCTGGAACGTCTAGTGAACAATCAGCTCAGTGGATTACCCACGTTTTTGACACCTGATGGAGGCCTGAACTCTGGTTTTATGACCATACAAGTTTGTGCCGCCAGTCTGGGTCAGTTATTGAATAGCGATCTCTCCTTTGACATTTCATAATCATTTTCGCAAAGACAAGTTCTGCCCCTCAATGCGGACGCAAAAATTTGAGCTAGCTCTGGACCGTACTCCTTCCGCACTGAGTTTTCTAGAGGACGAGTATTATCTACGTTTGCCGCGAAAACGGCTGATACCTGGTGCCGGAGCTGCAAACCTATTCTTGTGGCGACACTGGAAGGGTGTGTACCAGGCGTTTTCGCTCCAAACAAGCGGACACTCGTGTTCAGGAAGTGAAACTTTAGTAAAAATACCCACGGAACAAGATCTCAGCAAATGATTTTAGGTTCGCTCCGATGACGAACCTTTGGTCTGGCCAGATTGTGGGTAATGGATAAATGGTGTTAAGCTCATATTCTGATCCCCCTTTTTTGTGCGCATCTTCATA